CACTAAAGATGATGACGACAACGAGCTAATATGCAAATCCAAGGAACAACGCTGTGTGAATCCTATTAAGTACCAACTGAATAGAGAGAAGAAAATTCTCCCCATTTATAATTTTATGGTGTACGTCACGACATGGGTGCCAATTTTCGATAGACGGCAATGTCTCCCGAAATTGGGAGTATGGCTGTGTGTGAAGGTCAAATCAAAATTCTATTATTTTTTTACCATGTGTTGATTTGTTATTTATTTTCCATCCAGAAACGCTTGCCTTGAAAGAACGATAGATTTCCACCTCTCATCCAGGTAATAAATCTTACGATTATCATTTCTGTGAGATTAATTTTCTTTATATATTCCCTTCTACACAAAACAATCTCATCGTTTTCTAACAATACGCTCTGCCTAAGTGTCTTAAGAAGTGATATATGGTTGAATGTTCGAATAAATAAACTTCAATCAATTTGAATCAAATAAAAGGCAGATACCGAGTAGTTTTTTATTTGGTTAAAATTATTAAGAAGTGATCCCCTATACTGAACAAATGGTCGGGAACTAGCAGTGCGGTTTCCGACCCAATTAATAAAATGTTCTTTTAAAATTAGGCACATCATTATCCTCATTATCTTCTATTAAAACTGTGTCCAAAGTAGAAATCTCATTTCTGAAATAAGATTTATGCACTTTTTTTATGGCATTACGATCAGCTCTGTCTACTAAATCGATTATTGTGTTATGAGTCCGACTAACTTTTGGGTCTGAAAATATTTTAGTATTTTTATATTCTTGTGAGTATACGAGTGTTTTAAATACGTCGTCTGCTCACGCCTGACTTATATGCAACCCTCATTAAAGATTCATCTATTGTGTTAGTAGGATGTTCTTCTATTTTACACTTTTAAATATTTAAAATAATTTCTTTCGTTTTGCAACCTCATTAGCAGTATATGTGCTGTGACATATTTGTTTTTTTTTGTATACTTATTATTAATTGAACCTGCTGATATTTAAAAATAATTATGTAATATAGTTATGAACACTAATGTATAAAAACATCATGGAAACTTGACAGAACAAAACAAGAATAAAATAAAAATATTTAGAAACCAAGAACCAACTTGGAAAATAAAAGTAAAAAATAAATATAACGATTAACAAGCAAAGTTCATCAATTGCACTTGCAACAAATTGAAACATAATCTTCCTAAAACAAGTAGCAACTCTACTAAGATTTAATCATTTAAAAGGCAAGCAAAACCGTATGCCTATTGCTTCTTAAGTGCATTAGCGTGATTCTGTTTATTCCCAGTCCATCTGTATTTTGAATATACTATAGAAACCAAATCTTCTCCAAAACATTTGAACAGTTTAAAAATAGGCCAGTCAAATTATTGAAATGTATTTCATATAAAATGAACGGGGATGAAGATCTCTTCTAACTAAACGCTTATTCTTTGAACAGTCAGAAGGTATTTGTCAATTCTTAAGAGACTAAACAGATTCTGCAATAATCCACTAATTTGTTTATTAAATAATAAAATTTTCTCCTTTTGTCGGTACTTCAACAAAAATATTTTTTCCTAAAGAGTAAACGACTAATTTTACTGACCTATAAAAAACGACTTAAACATGACTCACTCGCAACAATTGTGGTGTTTTACTGTAAGAAGATATTTGATGTTTCGTTTTTAGTTCTATACCCTGTATAAAAAGTTTTATAAAATAAAACAGTTTATGATTATAAATATTTTATTACAAAAGAACAATTACATCTTATATTTTTTCTTAAATCTAATAAAAAATATAAAAACTATGTACATGAGAACGTAAAAAACCGAATGGTATATAAAATTAAATAATTTCTAATAAATTCGATTTTAGGGGTGGGAAAATATACTGCAATCAATACTAAAAAAGAAAATTTTGGCAGTTTTTAAATTTTCTATGAGAAAATAATGTATGCCCAGCAGTTTAATTGTTTTTAACTCAATACTGTAATAATCCCATTTTTGAAGTATTTTATTTATAAGAATGTCTTTTATTTCATGATAGCAAGATTAAGGGCTGTTCGTTGGGTGTACAAATCACTCTCAAAAGTAATATAGTAATGGAAAAATCGTAAAAAACAAGAAACCATGTATCCAAAAATAAGTCATAAATAAAACAAAACTATCCATTTAATTACGTTTTTTATTGTGTATTCGCATATTATGTCGAAAAGAAATCATGTGAAACTTGAATTGTTTGTATCAAAAATTATAACAATGATGAACATTGATCAACAGGTAACAAAAATATGACATATTACTTCATGACCGCAATCTTATATGGGGCGGAACTAAAAACTTTGTCACGCTACAAAATGTTGACAAGTTTCGGGTCGCAATGGAACACTTAATATAAATCAAAGGGCTTTAAAAGACAAAAACAACCAAATGGTAATTTTTTTAAATTCCTCCCTCTTCAGTTGGTATCATTAGTGATTGCAATTTTTATTCTGAAGGTATAAACATAAACTGCAATTTAAATATAATTTTTGACGGTTCATTTTTAACGTATTTTATGTAGGAATGCTGAACTTCTCGTTATAAGGTATTAACTGTGAATAATAACAAAGATCCAATATCCCAATTCTGTATAAAGTAATAAACTAGAGTAGCGGTTCCTAAATGGTGGTTCGCGGAACCCTGGGATTTCGTAAAAGGGGCATAGGGGTTCCGCGTCCGTCCGACAGTTAAATAAAAAATTCGTAGAAAAGACGAAATATCTTAAACCTTTTGGTTGAGTGGTGACGGTAAGCCACCGGCTACCAACCCTTGAGAAGTGCTGGGGCTGCGGCACGTGAGCGCTCGTGTGTTGCGGTACAAGAAGTACATAAAACCGGTATGACTGCTTTACAGAGATATGTTAAAACAAATAATGAAAACGCAACACAAGTTACAGAATTGCTCATGCTGGTAAACCACACAGGATTGCAGAGAATTTAATCAAACTCGGAGGAGATGCAGGAAAAAAGTTCATAAGATTCATAAGATTTCAGACCACATTGAAGATGAATTAATCTGTAGGTTGAAAGACTGTGAGATGTTTGCTTTACAACTTGACGAAAGTACAGATGTCGCCGGGTTATCAATACTGCTTGTTTTCACAAGATACCCCTTCTAAGAATCAATTGAAGAAGATTTGTTTCTCTGTAAACCCTTGGAGACCAACATAACAGTCGAAGGAATTTTTAAAGTCATTGATAACTATATGACTAAATACCATATTGACTGGAACAAATGTATTGTCGCGAAAAAAATACCATCGACTTTAAAGAAAGTTCTCGATCAAGCCGTACAAATTGTTAACTACATTAAATCACGTCCACTCCAGTCGAGGCTTTTTAAAAAAAAAGTGAAGTGTGGAGAGGTAGGAAGTCAGCACCTATCACATTTGCTACACAAGAGATTATTTGAATTGCGCAACGAGCTAAAGATATTCTTTGCTGAACAACCGATTCTGTGTGTTAGTAGGCTTCTTGAACTATTGCATGGCGAGCAATGGTTGATGATATTGGTTTACTTAGCTAATATATTCGATAAACTCAACGTATTCTGCCAGTCCCTTTAAGGAAGAATAGTAACCACATTTACAGTAAAAGACAAAATATCGTAACATATAATTAAACTCGAAAAATCATTGAAAAATTATTTCCCGGAGAAGTTACAGGACATCGACTAGGTTCAGAATCCATTCATACAACATACCAAGCCATCGATGCTATCTATGTCAAAGTATGAGAATTTGATCGACATTAAGTGTTCATCCCTTCTAATACAAAAATTTGAATCAGAAGATTCTCAGCTGAATGACTTTTGGATTGCACTTAAAGACGAATACGCTGCAATCGTTGAGAAAGCTATCATGGTTCTACTTCCTTTTGTGACGACTTACTGATGCGACACTGGTTTTTCAGCTTACGCTTATACCAAAAACAACTTCAGAAATAGGCTGGATGCAGCTCCAGATCTTCGTATTCAATTGTCAGACATTAAGCCTAATTTTAACACTATTATAAGAAATTGTGTGAAAAGATTTCATTCTTCACATTGAAATAGGAATTGTTACACTTATTTAATTGTATTTATCTTTGTATAATAAATATTTTGTATTCCTTATAATATTATTTTTCATTCATAATTTCTTCCTTTTTTACAATCTTAAGTTTTACAGTCTTAATATTCAAACTACAAGGTAATTTTTTTATTTATCAAAATAGGGTTCCGCCATAAAAAATATCGTCAATTAGGGTTCCAATACCAAAAAATATTGGAACCCCTGAACTAGAGCAATACAAAATATATACCATAAATGTTGTTTTAGAACTCGATAGCGTACCTAACGAGTTAGAAGTTAATCGGTTGCCCCAATGAATCAGGCATTGAAAATCCTTTTGAAAATATTGCTCAACACAATCTAGACCTCGAGTTGGAAATATAAATGTCCAATATAAAAAATATTTTGATCATAATAGTCGTTTATTCAAAAAAAATACACAGGAAAACCTTCAAAACTAGATGGAGAACGACGATAAGTTTAAATTTAGTAGTGAAAAGTATAGCCAAAGTACAACCTATTAATAAAGCTAGAGATAGAGAGCAATAACAATGATTATTCATAATATGAAAGGTCTAATAATACGTTAATTTATGATTAGGAAATAAAATTTGATATAATAAAATGTAAAGCAATTGTTTAATTATTCAATTTCTCAATTATTTAATTATTCAATTCAAGTACATATACCAAAGATAATCATAACCTTAATTTTATTTTTTTTTATTTCAAAATAAAATATTCAACATATAATTTTGGATACTTATTTTCCTATCATTGATAATTCCATTACTTTCGTTCCTACTAATTTTTTAATGCTTTGTACAAATCCCAATTCTCCACTATCATTTGACAGGTGTCGCCGGAGTCCCCGAATGAACAACTGTCGTCGTTGCTGGAGTTACCTTCTTTGGAGAATGTTTACACAACTTACAATCTTCGAAACCAGAAGACGAATCTGAGTCTGAGCTAGAACTAGATGATCCGGAAGAATCTGAATCCGATTCTGAACCGTCCGAACTAGAATCATCCGATTCTTCTCGGGGAATGAAAGTTACTTCGTTATAACACATTGTATTAATTGGTAAGTTGTTTAGTTCAGTAGGCGTAAATTCCTGCAACCAAAAAGGGTAATGAAAAACAAAAACAAAAAATGTTTATATAAAAATGAACCAATATCTACTTTATCATTTCACTATGATACAATTAAATATTGAATTAGCTTGGTCAAACCCGTCATAAAAATTACCGTAACCGCAATTATCGTAATGTTTTGTAGCGATTAAAAGGAAGCGTTTTAGCGGTATTGGTTAAGTTAATAAATAGTGCCAATAAGTAGTGGTTGGTACTAGATATTATTTAACCAGCAGAGTTAACTATAGTCGAACAATTTTCAATCAAAGGTGACTAATCTACAAATTGAACTAAACGGTAGCGGAAACCATGTAAAATGTCAGCAGTAAATTCTTAGTGGTCATTTTTATTGTGTATGCTTCGCCCATGTAAATAACTGAAAAAGTAAGGTAGTCCCATAAAAATTTGCCCCCATAACAACATAAATTAGTGTGATTCACGAGTGTATAGTGAGACACGTTTATTGAATAGCTTGAAACATCCGTAAACTTATCAATATTTTGCTGGTCTATATATATTTACGTTCTTAGATAGAAATATGATAGTTTAGTTTATTTGTTCAACATCATATGTGTGCATAGGCGTAGTGTGTTCTTGATCTTTAGAATATATTTATTAGACTTTATTATTACTTTAAAATAGTTTTGAGGTAAGTAAAGTAAATTCGAGGCAAGTTTATTCTTTATATACTATTAACCCTTTAACGGCCGCTCAATATACAAAGAGGAATTTGACAATTAATTTATTCGATTGAATTAAAATTAAGATTAATTTACAACCAAAAAGATTTTTTTCATCATTTTCAAGGAAAACAGTACACTTTTTAATAAAGGAACATATTGTATCTTAAATGTAAATTAAATTTTAAGTGAAAATTTTCGAAACAGTAGGGGTGTAGATGCATTCTACACCTTTTACATAAATAAATAGTATTACTTTTGCATATCCTACATTCTTGAACTATCGTCTCTTTTTGTAATGTGGCCAATATTGAAGAAACTGGTTTCTTCAGGTAAAGCAAATTTAGATTGACGTCCATGTACAAGTTTGACACTGATGTAGCGGTTTTTTCACTATTATAAATTATAAATATAAATCTATGTCGGCTCATGCTTTCTCTTATAATGTGCTTCTTTCAATGTACTTCTTTATCCTCATCCTTTGACCAATGCATATTAACTTGAAGTAGAGTGTGAACGAGATAATATACATATGCTATTTTTTTTTAAATCTATGTTATTCTTTTCAAAATCGTGACGGTTACTCTGCGATGCATAAATATTTGTAAAATATAGAATGCTCTCAATTACTTTTTTATCAAAAAAGAGTGAACAAATTTCAATATATGACTTGCCTCCATGGTTGGTTGTTATATTGTCTAAATATCAATCAGACTGATGTTGAATTACTACTGAGCACGAAGGAGTATCTGTTGTTACAACTTGGGACAAATTTGGATTTACTATTTTTGCTTGGTTTTTTCTTTGGAAGTTCTTTCTGTGATTCAGAGGAATATCATAATCAGAATCGTCAGAATTCCCAATCACTTGTATTTCATATGTACCTGCAATATCCGATTTTATTGATTCTTCACAAATAATATCATCAATGTCTTCTACATCAGAAACTTTCTAATCTAATCTCAACGGCAAATAAACCACATTAAGTGAGTCAGTATTTTCACAATCTGAGTCTTCTTCTAACAAAGCTATTAACTCTTTAATAGTTAGTGCCATCTTCATTTCATATTTCGAGAATTTACTGAAATAAACAAATGCACTACTATGTATACGCATTCACATTATAATAGTTTAGCTTACTTCATTTTAATTTATAATATATTTTTATATTTATATAAACAAATAAACAAAAAGAAACTTTCAAATTAAGTTAATATATATATATATATATATATATATATATATATATATATATATATATATATATATATATATATGTATATATATATATATATATACAGTGTAGGAAAAATTTTATGGTCGGTATGGACCTTACGTGAGATGGAGTGAGAAACAGCTGTTTAAAAAGAGAGAGGTATATTAGGTACGCCCTTTATATCGCCGAATGGAAATATTAAAAAAGGGGAAATTCAACGTTGCCAAACTTATTGGTTTTATTTGACCTGTTGTCTTTTTTTGCATTTGAACAATGTTCTATCAAGAAGATAAAATGCTCAAGATAATCAAATTTGGGCGAAATTGATTTAAATGGCAGGTTACTGTTTTTTTTATTGGGAATATGCCACAAGTTTTCTTTACAATAATTGTAATATAACATTTTGATTTCCATTTCGGAAATTGTTTTATATAAATAAAATTTATTAATGTTTCGTATTTTAAATACAATTTCCGAACTAAAAATCTAAACATCAAAATAATTTCCCAATATGAAATAATAAACAATTAAACATGCATACAATAACGCCAAATTAAAAAATATTCATACACTAATTTATTTGGCAACGTCTAGTCTAGATAGTTGTCTGGTCAAAAGATCGAGTAACGAGAAGTAGAGGTGGGTCGTGCTAGTTTATCGTTAAGACCGTAGGAGCAAAATTTCGCGCCAATGTTTTTTAAATGCATTCATTTTTTTCGAATCCTGAGAAAACTAATAAATATTTTTGAAAAAATTAAACGCAGAATGAAACAATACATTATTACCGAGAGCTGAAAGTCCCTGAAAACTTCTATAATGTTTATTTTAATAAGTTATAGGGATGAAAAAAAAAACAAAATTTAGTGTGATTTTTAATTTCAAATATCTCATTAAAAAAACTTTTTGTTTATTCTAAGGGACCTTCGGCCCTCGGTAATAATGTAATCTTTCATTCTGCATTTAAATTTTTCAAAAATATTTGTTAGTTTTCTCAGGATTCCAAAAAAATTTAAATTTTTTTGAATGCTAAAAAGCATTTAAAAATTTTAATTTTCATAAACAAGTAACTATGATTGTTTAAAAGTAGTTTCAAGTAAGATAGTACCTACATAAACAAACATAACGGCTATTATCGTTTATGTGTATATCTTTTGAAGTGAAAGAAACTACCTAATGATATATTTATTATAACTTGAAAACTAAACTAAACAATCATCATCATCATATAACGGGGGTCCTACGGCGATTGCCGCTTCCCGCATTTCAGCCTCCATCTTTTCCTATCTCCCCAATCTCCCTCTTCTAAGCCTCTAGATTGCATTGTTTTTGTAATTTCTCTTCTCCAGGAATTTGGTGGTCTTCCCCTTTTCCTTCTTTCTGGCGGAACATACATTAAGGCTTTCTTTGGCCACCGCTCCTCCTCCATTCTCATCACGTGACCATACCATTGTAATTGCCTTCCTTGTATTCTATCTGAAAGAGTATCTCTAATTCCTGTACGGTTTCGTATTTCCTCATTCCTGATTCTTTCCATTCTCGATACTCGACATGACCTTCTAAGATAATCCATTTCCACAACGTCTACTTTATCTCGTTCATTCTTTGTCATCGTCCAACATTCGGCACCATATGTGGTAATTGGTTCTACAATTGCTCTGTATACGCGAAGTTTGGTATGCATCTTTATTTTATTAGACCACAGTAATGAATTCAGTATTCGGATGCATTTTTTCCCTTGGGTTATTCGGTTTTGTACATCTATCTTAACTCTGCCATCTGCTGATATGATGCTTCCTAGATATTTATACTGGTTGCAGCCTTTTATGACTGCGTTTTCAAGCCTCAGATCTGTGGTATTTCCTCCAATTTTTAAATATTCTGTTTTAAATATTCTGTTCTAAACTAAACAATACAAATAGTAAATCGGACTTACATTTACATTACACGTTATTATTAAATCGCGAATAGTCTAAATTGACATAAAAACATAAGTTTTTCTACTTTACTTCTTGTTAACCGTATTCTTTTTTATTTAAAATTAAACCAGATTTTGAACATGTGTTCACATTTACAATACTTTATGAATATAGTGGTTAAGTTAGGATATACATGGCGATGGTTTTTCCACCGTTGTAATGGACTCTCGATGCAGGTGTACGTGTAGATGAGTCATCTCCAATTAATTGATCAAAAATACACCATGGACTTAAGTCATATTTATTGGTTTCTTTTTCTTGTACTGGTTGATTTTCAATAGTACAATCTTCTTGTTCGTTAATTATAGAAGTAACCAGCTTCTTAACTTTTTGTTTTGTTCTGCACTTTAAATCGTGAATCCATAGATGTACATAATGACAATGTGCCACTCTGTTCTATCCCTCTAAATCTTTTTGCTAAACCCGATATTAGTAATTGTACTATGTCGGATACTATGGATGTAAGTATGCCGTTTGCTAAAATTTTATTGCAAGATTCTTGCAGGCAGCGTACCATAACAATCACTGAACTAGCATTCAAGTATTTTTGGTCACTCATTGTACTTGTTATTTCTTTAAACGGCCGTAAAATTTGGGAAAGTTGAGAACAAATAATCCAGTGTTCTTTATTTAGATTAGGTTTAAGTCTAAGTCTGTATTATTTAATACCAATGTGGAACGGGTTGCCTCTTCTAACTCGGTAATTCTTTTTAACATGTAATAGGTGAAGTTCTACCTAGTTTCCACGTCTGGGATTGGCCGTTTGGGAACTGTGTTCTGTTGTAATTAATACTTTAAAAGCCTTTCTGAAGATAAGGTACTTTTTTGAAATGTGTTTTTTTGCAGAATTGTCGAAAAAAGGACTTTTTATTTTATCTATTTGTACACGACAGCATTTAAGTGCGTCCCCCACCAATAAATTTAATCATCATCATAAATCACAATCATCATAAAACAAAACATATTTAATAGCTTTGACCATATTTTACGAATTATCAGTTACTGCAAAATTTACTTTTCGTTTTAGACCCGACTGATTAATAATTTCAGTAATCGCTGTTTTCTGGATTATGGTTTCCAGAAAAATGGCAGCAGCCTAATAAAAAAGT